GGCTGGAGTGGATATTCAACTTTTTACTTGTGACGATTCAAAGGGTCTTTCGTGCTAGATTGATAAAGTTATTGAATACTGCAATAAAGGATTATTTGTTTGTGAAGCGAAACTTTAGCAGTCTTAACCCGTTCGCTCCTGGGAATTTTGCTTCATTTTTTTCTTTTGCTGGGCATTTAGTAGGCTTCATGTCTGTGAGGAAAGTTTTGAGAAAGCTTCTAGGATCTTATAAGATTAGATGTAATGAAAGGTAACTGGTTAGTACAACAAGATTTTCATGGGAATTTATTGGGTCAACATAACGTGGTAGCTCCAGCCTCCTTGGCTGACGCGTGCTCTTTCAGGAATGGTTTGAAAGATCACTTCCCCCTGCACATTCAAGTTAAATGATAAAGTTAAAAATGATGAATGTGATGTTACACTGAGCGGTAGAAGGGACGTGGATCTGCACAAGCGGTTACGGGCGGTTCAGGGGCGAATTGGTTCAATACGTTTTTGGTATGTCGATCTTAAGCGTGGTTTCTTAACCCTTATGTTTTCCTGTAGCCTTCAAAATCAACAGTAACAGTTAACCCAGACGGGAAAACAGTAAAGTTTCAAGTAAATCCTGGAGAAAGCCACACGGAGCTTGGTAACCAGACCTTCACATACACAGTGGGCCTGATGCCTAGCCCAGGAGGACAACCGCTGACTGCCAACTCCACGGCAAACGTGGAGTTCACAAGCAGCGCTCTGAGCGGATGTCAGGACGGAAGAATGATCGGATCGGTACCAACTGTAACAGATGACAGTTAAGCTTCCGAGTAACATCCAAGCCATAAACTAGTAAATACACTCCCGCAACCTCCTGCCATAACCTACCCCTTAACTGCCAAACAAAAGAATAGCACTAATGCCTTCAAAATTTGCCGATCGTTCAGAGATATTCCCAGCCATTTACGAAAATGGTTGCTTGGCAAAATCTGTAAATGCGGAGTTTCTGTGATGGCACAACTCCGTTCAAGTAGATTTTCACTCATACACCTGTATTCCACGCTTGATAAAAGTGAAGCCTGTTCATGCAGTTTTGAGTTGTCGATTAAAACTAGGGCGTCCATTTTTTTCTTTTGGGCCTTTCCTTAGTCTTGTTAGCTCTTCATGGCTATGCCCTTTTTATATTAACGATCACTTTCAATTGTTGGTTTGTTTCAGCACGCAAAAAAGTTAGGTAAATATTGCGCGAAAACAATTGTCCGGAATTTATATTTCCTGCATTATAGGCGTTTAGAGGGTACTTCGAACAATAAAGTTCACGTGAGATGGGGTGCTGCACAAGAGGACCTGATTCGTGATGCTCCTCCAATGTACGCTGACGGTATAGTTATGGCAGCAGGCGCTAACAGGCCATCACCAAGAAAAATCAGCAATGAACTATTTCAGCAGGTACGCCTTAAGTAACAGATCTGGACTACCAGCATCAGCGTTTTGTTTTTTAAGCGTTTTCAGTCTGTTTATTCCAAACAGATAAGTAAGGTTTGCTAATAAATTCTCTCCTGCATTAACTCGATTAAACGCCGCCCTTGATAAAACGCGGCAAATAGAAGCAATATTACCAATAAACGCTGCCCTCGTCTTAAAAAAATCGCATCCAATCAGAAGAATACGGGATTTTTTCAAGGAATATGGGAAAAAATTCGATACAACTTGGTAATCTTCACCATCCATGTAGACAATGACGAGTCCATTTCAGGAAAAAATAAAGCAAGACACTGGAAATCGTTCTGTTTTACAAAGTATTTGCAAATCAGGTTTATCGTAATTATTTTTGCCAAATGCGATTTTGAAATAAACGCCACCATGTATATATTATAAACGCCACATCGGAAACGCTATAAAAGGTAATAAAAGCCACGGCGTTTTTTTCGAATGAATACTGTATAGAAAATTGTGACGCTGCTTCTTTTAGGAGGTTAAGCACAAAAGTTGCGTTTTATCTTATTGAGCTAATAAAGAAATAACTGGCCAACGTTCGGGGACTGCTGTTTCTATCCTTTTCTTATCCTTTTCTCATTACCTATAGTGAAGGTTAAATTGTCGTTAAAATACATTTGCGGCTTCTCTTTGCGATTCGGCTAACTAACTTCCTATTTTGCAGGTTGAATCAAAGATTAGTGCGCGCAGACTCAGTGACTTCAGTCCAAATTTTGGGCAGGTATATATTGAGGCGTAATTAATCGCTTGTGACTAAGTAGGTCAGTGAAACAGACCATCATTCAGGATCAGTCAGGCAGGATGCGGCGATCCGGTCATCAATAGGTTCACTTTGACAGTGGAAAGAATTGGCACAGTTAGTTAGTCAGTGCGAGGCCTTCTGTACGAGAGGTACTGAATTGGTTTTCAGGCTTTACCTCAAATCCTGTCATTCGACTCAGTTTTTCTATCCATATAGCATTAAGTAGCTTTAAATACCAGTAAAATGGATCACTGATGAAAGAGGGGGTAAAAAAGCGGAGCTACCAATGTAACCTCTCCACGATACAAGGTACCAGTGTCGAGAATTGATGTTACGCTATTAGAATGTGACGTGGAGGATCATTTGACAGAAGAGAGAACTGAGAACTCTGGTGATGGTGGTGAGAGATATTGAGAAGTTTACGACACCAGTCTTTCCATATTACACAGCACAGGGTGTTTTTAAATAGAGTACCTGATGTGTTGTTGACAAATAGAGGTCATTGTTTTTATTAATTTTTCTTTCAGTTTCTTGCACATGATACCGATTCATCAGGAACGCTTACAAGTCGGGATTTTGAAGTTGAAAGTGACGTGCTGTTACCTATTGAGGTACCACAGGTCAGTATATGAAGAGCATTTGGTGTCGTCCCTGAGTTGTTGTTGTGGTATAATAATCAGGAATCACGATACTCGGACTCCCTTCCTGTTTATCATGAAAATTACACGACACGTCAGCAGTCTATGGGTTCAGATCTTGCGCGTTGATTCTATTATCTACTAGCCTTACTTGCTATCTGCAGTTCTGACAACCCCAATATTTGTAATTCCCTCCAAGGAATACCTTGTATGACATGTATGGTGTGTGGGTGGGTTTGAGTAAGCTGAATATGTCGTTAGGATATCTAAAATGTCTTTTCCCCAAACGATGGGATTTCCCTGGCGATTTTTTAGCTGCCTCGCTTATCGTATTATGCTTGGGGTATGTGGATGGGCCCTTGTCCTCTTCTTAACCTTTTAAATGTGGGTGATTTGTTACTGAACAAGTATTTGCGTAATTCTTTTGCCTGTGGAGGAAATGTGGCTATGCGCTATGATTATATATATTTGCTTTCTCCTCTGCTTCCAGGGAGATATTCATTTTGACCGACAGAACAAAGGAAATGTCTACCTCCCTTTCGTACGCACCACGTTTAACAGGTTTGGAAGGACATGATCGAATTCAACATAAATTATATACATCAATTACTGGCCCTAAGGTTAAAGCTAAATTTCCTTCATCTATAGAAAACAAAGCTGGTTTGTTTGTTTGTTTGTTTTTGCTTAGGCGCTATCATTTAGGAATTTCTCAGACCTGGATGTCATATGAATATCGTGGGTCAAAACGAATCTCTGATCTCTCTTCCCGGCGATAAATCCTTCTGAGACGATCTTGACTAAGCCTTACAGTTCCCGTTGTAGGAGAAACAAAAATTAAAGTATAATGCGGCGATTGCAACTAGCTCTTGGAAATATCGTACTTAGACTTTGTTTCCGTAAATGGGTGCCTCAGTGAGAGCAACAGTTAATCGGGTAACTGTCTGAAACATTGTGCCTGAAAGAACGTGACGAGTCGCTCCCGAAACGAGCAACATTGACTTCCCACAATGAAACGGGCGAAACGTTTTTTTTTTTTTTTTTGCCATAACCTGGTGCAGAGTGAGAAGTTCTAGGAACTAAAGTTTTACACTACCTTTTAGTGCAGTGAACCTTTTTTTCTCTCTTCATTAGATGTACTGGTCGAGGCACTAGCATTCCAAGACAACAAGTGAACAAACTAACTTCCTACATCGATGGTTCCGTCGTGTATGGAGAAACAGAAGCACGAAGCAGGGCTCTAAGATCATTTACAGATGGAAAACTAAAAGTCATACCCGATGATTTGTTACCTGTAAGTTACGACTTGGAAAAAAAGGACTTTTTATTTTGCTTTCCAACACAAAACAGTCAGGTTCCGTGTACTTGTCTGAACTCAATTGTTGTTTGCAATGGTACAGAAAAGAAATTTCTCATCTCCCTTGTAGTTTATCCTCCCCTCTTTCCAGCCCCATCCCTTTTCAGTTGCCCAAATTTATAAAGCCTCACCTTCTAATTAAACCCCCGGCCCTCCAGATGGAGTGCAACGGCTGGAATTTTTTCTTTACACATTCACTACTTACGCTTAGGTTCCAGTTTTCAAAAAGGCCTTGGCTCCCCTCTTCAGTAAGCCATTCCCTTCCCCACAAAAATGTTTGCAAAAATTGTATCTGGGGAGGCGTCGAAGATACACTTTTACGTCACTTGCAAGATTTTTCAAACGAGAGACACAGGGCGCTTTCCATTTAGTCAAAATTTCCCGAATTTCTGGTTCGGCGGTAAATTGAACACGTTTCGTCGGCTCGTCCCACTGGAAAATTCCCAGAAAAAGTGTAGAATCTAAAAAGGTGAGCCGGTTTTCCCGGTTGGAATTTCCGAACAGAATGTCGTGTTCTATTTACGTTTCTCGTAGTTTGTACCAGTTCCAGGTCCACGGTCGGTTACCGCGACGTACCGGGGTTTAAGACCAAATGGAACAACTTTTTACCAATCGGAAATTCCACTTTTGCTCCCACCGAAATTTCGGGTTTTTTTTCCTAAATGGAAAGCGCCCACAATTTATCAATGTTTGTTGAAAGTCTTTAATATTTCACTCATAATTTCACAAACTAGAAACTAGAAATTCTAAACTTCTACTCCAAAGTCAAAATGATTTTTCAGCTTAAGCAACTAGTACCTGTTTAAACGTGTTTTGTAAACAGGAAAATGATGAGGCGCTACCGAATGACAATCCAGTTGGCCGAGTAGCAAGTCTGCTGTTTGTTGCCGGGGACTCAAGGGCCAATGAACAGCCCGGTTTGATAGCATTTCATACTCTCTTTGTACGTGAACACAACCGACTATGTGATGAATACAAAAGCACAAATCCTCAGGTAAAGCAACAACACGTGGTTTTTACGTTCATACTCATTAAGACTGTGTGACATTTAGTTTCGTCATATTTTTGTTTGTTTGTTTGTTTTTGTTTTTGTTTTTTTCTTTCCTCTTTAAGATGTGTACAGTAGGGTTATATGTAAGCTTGTACTTAATGATATTCTTATGTCCTTTTTTACATTGTAAAGCGCTTAGAACAGCGATGTATAAGCGCTATATAAATTCCATTATTAGTATTATTATTATTATTATTATTATTATTATTTAACTTATATAATTTTAAATAAGGGTATTATTAGTCCAAGCGCCCGAGACAAGGGAACTTGGTCGTAGACTGCAGTCAGGTGGGAAGGGCAGGTTTGCTTTTTCCCTTTTGAAGTAGATAGAGTCGGGAGTTGACAAAACCTCGAGAATCTAGTGCTACTTGTTAAGAACAAGGTGCCTCAACTACGTTTGAGGTTGTGGGGGATAACCCCTGTTTGAAAATCACCGGAATTCTTTATTCATACTCATTACACTTGTAAGAGTGAGACTTTTAAGTCTGTGTGACGTTTACTCCAAAAGCTTGACCATTTATGAGCAATGCTTTTCTTGAGGTGTTGCTAATCATTCTGCACATTTTGGTTTTAACCCTTTTGACGCTGGAGATTTAAAGTAAAACGTTCAATTTATTCCTTACACTGTGGCTCTGACTTTTGCGTACTAAGACCCACGACGAAGTGTTAAATGCTGTTAGAACAAAACTATTTTCAGGTACACCACAAGCTGAAACTATAAATCAAATTTTACATGTAAAGAATTACCCACCCTTCTCGTTACAAATTTAAAAGAAATCAAAATAAAGGGCATAAAATCTTTAACTATTTACTAGTTTAGATCATTTTAAAAGATCTAGAGATTTAAATTTTTGTTTAAGTGTCAACCTTTCTCGTCGCATCTACTGTCCCACAGTTTCGATGCGCTGTAACGCCACCACCTTAGGTCATAGGCCATGGGTGGTTGAATTGACCTTTAACAAGTCCACCTTTTGATAACGGACTGACTTTCACCCGCTACTCCCTGTAGTAAAAATGTAATCTTTTTTGCGAATTCTGACATGGATGCATAAACGAGTAAACGATCAAGATATTTATTAGGAAGAAAGAACATTGCCACTTGCTGCTTCTTTTTCCCAGGCTACTGACGAGCAAATATTTCAGGCTGCGCGTCGCCTGGTAGCGGCTGAGATCCAGGCCATGACATTCCGCGAGTACTTGCCTTCACTGTTGGGGGGCACCACGCACATCCCTCCTTATCAGGGGTACAATGACACTATAAACGTTGGCATGAGCAATATGATGTCAACAGCTGCCTTCAGGTAACAAACGAATTCTTATTATTCATATTTTATTTGAATATACAATTGAAATAGGCCCTCTGTAATTATAGAGCGCACTTTGCTTGGGCTTCATTTCCTGTATGATCTCACCCCGCCGACCTAGCCTGTTCCAGGCTCCGAGATGGTGGTGGAAAGTCGTTCAGTAATAAGAAATACGAAAAACGCGCGAGGGCTGGGGAGAGACAGGGTTTTGACAGCCGAATCCAGACGTGACAAAAATGGGCGGAAGAGGGTCGTTAAAGAAATGCTAACAGGCTCTCTCTCCCATTTTTCCAGCTTCCACCGCCCCCTTTCTCAAGTCGTGCGCGTCTTATTTTCGCTTTGCTCGTTTTAATACGTTCCCACTATACTATCTAAGAGCCTGGCACAGGCTACGCCGACCTAGACCACTGACGGCAAAAGAAAAAAAAAAATAGAATTGCGCTAACCTGCGCACTGAGTAAACGAAGGCGTTATGTCTGTAGGAACAGTGGTGCTTTATCGGCCGGCAGGGAGGTGGAAAATGAAAATCGCCTTTTTAACCTCTGAAACAAAGTAATATCAAAAGTAAAATTCTCATTTCTTTTCCCTATACATTTTCTTTCAACACAAATAGTGGGAGAATTTGTTGAAATATCAATTAGATTCACCTTCTGTGATGATGTGCTCAATTCTCATGACCACTCAGTTTATAAAGCATTTATGATATTGCGGATCACTCTTAGGGCTGAAAGGGCTAAACTGAGATTATGGAAAACCCAACAGCTGACACAGGTTGGATCACAGCGGTTTGAATGTATTGCTATTTTCACCTGTAGATTTGGCCACAGTCAGGTCAACACTCACTTGTGGAGGTATGAAGAGGATGGCACGATATCTCCCTATGGACACGTTTCTCTGAGAGACGTCTTCTTTTCTCCTGAAAGAGTTAAGAGGGAGGGAGGACTGGACCCTCTGTTTAGAGGAGCAGTCAGGCAAGCAGCTCAAGAGGTCGATTTGAAGGTTTGTAGTGTGACAAACATGGAATTACTGTGTTCACCAGGAACACATCAGACCAGTTTTTCGAGTTAGTTATTACCTTACAATTACAAAAATCTTGGTAAAAAGTAAAACCAGGCGTTCAGGTGCAAACTTCTCTCATTTTTCTCACTAATTAGGACAATTAGACTCTTGTTTTCAAGAACAGATTTTCCAACTACTTTTGTCACCAATGGCACAAAATCATTGTCGTCGTCGTCGTTGTCGTCGTTATCATCATCACCGCCTCTTCCACCACCATTACCACCACCACCACCACCACCATCATCATCATCATCATCATCATCATCATCATCATCATCTTTGTTTATGCTATATATCGATAGATTCAGTGTCATTGTCAAGGAAACCGTTACCGTCACTATTTAAGTTACTGTCAGTGGCAACGTGATTAAGTCCTGAAAAAGTATCAGAACCAGCACGCACACGAAACTTTTAAAAGACCTTGCTTAAAGGCGAAGAAAAAAAATGCCGGCCCCGTTTTGAGTCACTAATCGCAGTCCGCTGAAACTATCACCACTGCCAACCGACTACCTTATATATGTTTCATTCTTTGAGTTCTTCCGAAGGAATCTTGAGCCGTTTTACTTTTGCCAATTAATTGACTAGGACTATAGCCCATATTATCAATCATTATCTCTTATCATAAGATAAGTTAATTCTGAAGTTTTGATTATTTTTCAGATGGTTGACGACATGAGAAATGTCTTGTTTCCTTCTGGTCGTGGTCTTGGTTCAGATTTGGCGTCGAAGAATATCCAGCGTGGAAGAGATCATGGTTTACCAGACTACAACACAGTGAGAAAAGCTCTAGGTTTAAAAGGTAGGAATTAAACTGACTCTAGGCTACTGTTCTAGACAGTCTATGTCAGTAAGTCAGTCGGTAAGTCTGTCGAGCGGACGGTCGGTAACAGGTTGGTCCACGATTCATTAACCTGGTGACTGAAAATAAAAAACCAGTAGCCCATCACTAGGGTCATAGACTGCTGAAATGACTGACTCCTTATCTTCGATTCTGTTTGTCTCCTTAAGGGTTAACCAGTTTTTCAGAGATCACCAAAGACTCCGAGGTTGCATCGAAGATGAAAGACCTTTACCAGGACATAAACAATGTTGACCTGTGGGTAGGAGGATTGGCTGAAGACCACGAAGATGGCAGTGAACTGGGGCCAACGTTTAGAACGTTAGTGCAAAACAATTCTTTTTATGTCTTCCCTTTATGGTTTCTGATTTTTTTCGTGGATATGGTCTTCACAATTGAGTCTAGGGGGCTAAACACGTGTTGATTTATTGCGATTTCGGTTGAAATTGAGTTTTAAAATCGGCGTAAATAGCATACATTCACTGTAATCCTGTCCATTCCCCCCCTCCCCCTCCCACAGCTAATATGACGTCGGAAGCCTGAGATAGCTATCGGATAACCTTAAAATATTGTATTTCTCTTGCTAATGGGATGAGTCTATGGCTGTCAACGCTGAAGGGGAGTAATGTCTCTTCCAGAATCATGATGCTTAATTTTCTGCGAATTAGAGACGGCGACAGGTTCTGGTATGAACGCTATCTGTCAAAAGAGGTAAGTGGAATAATTATGTTTTGCCATTACCGCTATAGACGAGATTGAAATATGGCCATAGTATGAAGAGAAGTCACCCGTAATCCTTAAACAGTAACCACATAGCCTCGTGCCAAAATTCAGAGAATCAAGAGCAAGCCTGGGAAGGAGTTTTTTAAGCGCATAAGGCACGTAGGGAAGAACGAAAAGCAGACGAGAAGCGTTAACCTTTACCGTGGATGTCCTTGGGTTAACTCATAACCTTTCCTTGTCCGATTAAGGCGTCGTTACATTGGACGAATCGCAACCGCGCTTTTCAGCACGCAAGGGCATTGCAACATAGTTTTGAATTTTCAAAACTTTGCTGCCCTAAAGATCGTCGTTGCAGATATCTTTTCGTCTAATATCACCTTTACGCAAATAGGCACTCGGGTACAAGGCAGGTAACAATATAAATTACTTCGACCAATCAAAACAGAGTAAAAAATACAAAAACCAATTACGCGTAGCTGAGCGAAGGAAACTCCCCAAGCCTCAAGTCGGAAGCTAACTAGCCAAAATGAACAACGAATGTCTGAAAACCTATACTCGAAAAAAATTATTTCGTTGTAGACAGCAAACTCGCTTGTTAATTGGTCAAAGTTAAAAATTCGCCAGTCAGTGCAACTGCAATCACTTTATTCTCACTAGGCAAGATCGCAAGATTTTTAGAGAAGTTTCAAACTTTACAGGGTCTAACAACCGCCTAAGTGAAGAAACAAGCGTTTTAAAAACTCTTTTATTAACCGTTTGGTTTTTAATACCAATTAGCTTTGTAATAACGATATCTATTGTGTGAAAGGTTTGAACCCAGGAGTCATTTCAAAAAGTAGGTTGAGTTTGATCGTCCGGGTGAACGCAGTCCTGAATAGGACTGTTGTTGTTGACAGTGACTGACGTTTCAACAACCTGTGCGGTAGTCATTTTCAGAATCAAAGTGAGTTATATACCAGAGTATAATACCATCAACTGACGTGATGCAAGTCACTTTGATTCTGAAGATGACTACCGCAGAGGTTGTGGAAACGTCAGTCACTGTCAACAACAACAGTCCTATTCAGGACTACGTTCACCCGGACGATCAAACTCAACCTACTTTTGATATCTATTGTGGAATCGAAGTGAAACCCCACTCGACTTTAAATTCTTACTTCAGTTTTGCTTTAACTAGATGTAAATTTCTTAATATAATCTACTTACAAAAGAGATTTTTTCATCTATTGAAGAAGAATGAAGACTCCTTTATTTGTTATTATTAGAGAAGCGTGACGTCACGTTACCATGGTAGCAAAATTTCTGGATCTCAACAATCCTTCTTGACAGAGACGGCCATTGGCATTGCCGAACGATGGAAAAAAAGTATGGGCTACCGTTTTGTTCCTGAGTGCAATCATGCACAGGAGACTAATTCCTTTTCAACTTTTCGTTTTCTTTCTGCCATATTTACAGGACGATGTTTTTTTTGAGATCCAGAAATTTTGCTACCACGGCAACGTGACCTAACGATTTATCCTCTCTGCAACCCTCGACACTTCCAGAACATTCATACTCAACGTTCGTTTGACATTAACAGGAAATCGACAAGGTGAATTCAATGACGTTAGGCAAGTTAATCCACATGAACACTGGATTCAAAAGCGCACCAGCTAATGTGTTCTTCTCCACGCAGTACTGCGCAGGCGTGAAAGATTTCCAGTGTGTGCCAAAAACTGAAATCCCTTCGGTGACGGAGGCCACAAGTAACGCTACAAGGAATGCATTGATAGCGATAAGTGTTGTCATGTCTGTGTTGGTGGTTTCGCTTGTAGCCGTCCTGGTATGGTTGTGGTTCCGTTCTCGGCAAAAGAGAAAGATCATCCCGGTTAAGCCGGCGCCAGGCAACTGAGTCATCAATTGTCATATCTCGGAAGCACTTAAAAGCACAAAATATATGAGGGCGGTGCCCAAGTATATGTACTACTTCCTTCTATCCACCTTCCCGCCGACTCCAATGGTAAATCCAAGGGTTTACATTGGCTATGTTCCCTCTTGGAAGTAAACATAAAATGTGAACTTGCAGAGGGGTAGATATCACTGTTGTAGTTTGGTATTACACGCTCTTCATAAAAATTGTTAGCCTGCTTCAGGTGGTAAGACTCTAGTGATAGACTCCTCAGTTGATTCTGCAATAACTGATCTAAGCTAGGAGAATGTGACCCGCGAGAAAATTTTATCGGAGTGAACAAAACTGCGGTGCGTAAGTGAACACTTAAATTCTTGGTTCTCCCACGAACTTGGGTGAGAGACAGAAAGGAAAGAGAGAAGGATAAACGGAAAGAAAGAAAGAAAAAATGGAAGAAAGAAAGCAGAAAAGAAAATTAAAATAATACTGATATCACGAAGAAACATCTCAAAAAGCTAGCCCTTAAGTAATGTTTTTCAGTATCTTAACACTGGGACCAGGCTAACTTTTGTTAGTTGTTTTAGCCGCAACTTAGTTCACCTCTCGTAGAATAATCAGCTTGAAAGTAGCTGTTAATTATAACTAACTACTGCCATACCATACTAACAGGCTGTAACTACTATAATAAAAAGACTATTCCTTAAACAAACTGGTAAATGTTATCTAGGAAACACTTTTTTGCAGTTTCGATTTCCAGATCGGAGAATTTTGATAGCTGCAAAGGGATTGTTCATAAAATGAAGTTTCTCGAGAGCTTGAGCTTAAGTCTTAGTCAGAGCAAACTCTTCAAATATAATAAACAGGTAAAAACAATTATTTTCATTTACTTTCGGAAGAACATGGAACAAAGGATATCATATACCAGACCCTGGTCTATGGCACATGGTATTTGTAATCCAGTGACTGGGAAATAGAAATTGTGATAAATTTTTAAAGTACCCACGCATTACTCAAAACTACAGGCGGCCACATCGTGCACAATTTTGTGAACACAAATGGGCTACTGCTCAAATTCAAAACAGAACAAAAATATACTACAATCAATTTACGCGGCATTTGTTACATTTCAATTAATTTTTCGCTTTTGAAATAAACTGCAATTCCTATAAGACAACATGCTTGCCCGATGGGCAAATATCATACATTCACCGAAGAAAATAAACACCTGGAAATTACAACCTCTTCCTCATTCGAAATATGTGTTGTGGTTCACTTTTATCCTTGGTTTCATATTTTATTTTCTTTTGTTTCGAACTCATTATCATATATTACCATACCCAAAGACAAAAGGAGATAAAAATTAAACCAAGGATAATGTTAAACCACATCATATGCACCCCAGGGTCTTTAAAGGGCTCTAGAGGAAGAAAATGAAGGTAGACTTCTTTAGCTTTTCTCAGCTTTATTCGCGAGATTCCCCATAGACCGAGATAGGTCCATCATACCTGTTTACCTTTTTAACCAATGGTTTAAAAAATAGGAATAATTCGTGACTACTTTAGAAATTTAATTCAATTACTTAAGACGGTCAGACCTATAAACAACTATGGTGCACCCATGAGGCTACCTGTATTATCAACTAGTGCCTAACATCTGCATAGAAGAGTTCGCGGACGAAGCGCTAGATCAGCTAGAAACCAGCTGGTACAGATAGATGGATAGATGACTTTTTAAACTCAATCACCAAACTACATCACTGTGAAGTGGAGAAGTTTTCCAAGCATCTCAACTCCACATTCTTCTAACACGCTCGTCCTTTTCATTGCATCTTCCTTTACCAACCCAGTAGCCTGTCAGGTCTTTATATCGGCCTCTTTGTTTGAAATCGGTTCTAAGAGTTTCACAGAACATGCAAAGAAAGGACCACCCTTCTCTGCCTGCTCGATATTTTTGTCTCCAACTGAAATATTCATTGTAGGCGGTATTGTTCTTGTCAAGGTAGTGGAGGTAGTCTGCAAGGTCTTTTACCGTCTTGAAGTCCATAACGTTGATATATGAACCTGGAATGGCGAGTTTGCTGTAGTTGGCGCCTCCTAAGACTATTGGTATGACGTTTTCATCTCCTGTAATGACGATAAAACCTCAAATAAGGGCCTTGAGACTTAAAATTTATGATTACCGTAAATCCTCTATTAAGCCCCCTCTCAAATAAGCCCCTCCCCTTTTTAGTGGAAGAAAGTTATTAAGCCTACCCCTTTTTATGTTATTTTTTGCCTATAATACACCTCCTTTACCCCCCCCCACCAAAAAACAAACAACAACAACAACAAAAACTTGCTGACCTACATAAGCAATAACGTTATTTATAAATAAACTAAAAACTGGGCTACCATCAATTCCTATATTTCGTAAATAAGCTTGCTTACCTATACGGCCCCAGTACGTTTCAGTGATGTAGTCCTCGCATAATGCATTTTCAAAGCTAAGGTAGAACTTGTACTGTTTAATAATATTTCTGCAAGTTTCTCCACGTGGACAGGATCTTGATTTGCCAAATTTTCCCGAACACGATCCAAATACATCAACTGTAATGTACTTTTGAAGCTCATGAACAAACGAGTTTCTGAGATGAGAGTTACAGTTGCTAACCATCCAGGAAACCAGTTTGTCCTTCCCAACGGAGAAATCTAGTTGTGAAGTCTTTTCAAATGGGATCCCCCTATAAGACCCATAAGGCCACCAGAAGTCTGAATCGGATCTATAAGTCATAGTCAAATCGAACATTCCATTCAAAGGTCGGGTATCAGGAGTAGCATTTGGACTTTCCTGTAAAAAATAAATCCAGAACTGCGACGAGGGCTTATTTTTCATTATCGTTTTCAGGTGATCCACACCAGGCATATCTCGGGCGTGGAATATGACAAATTCGCTTTCAGCATATCGCTTTTTATCGTACGTCAAATCAACCATGTCCTTACGGCAACTGTTTCTAGGTATTTCCGGTGAGGAACAATCATCAGTGAATTTTATCCACTCCTTAGTACCGAAGAATTGTGTGTAAACCAGTATCACGAAGGGCTTCTGAGTTACGCTGCGAGTGTTGTTTTCTGCAGCTGACTCCAGCTCCTTGTTTCTTAGTCTCCCTAACGCCAGTCGGGAGATTGGAATTGTTTGGCGCAAGGTGTTACCCAGTGAGTTCCAAAACACTGTTATTAACAGCAATATCGCACATAACAAGCAAACCAAAATGAATGTTCGTGCCACCGTTTCTCTCATTTTGCCTTTATGAGACTATTGTGTTGATTTAAGACACGACTTGAGCAAGAGAAATAAACATGTGATCATTATCGGTCGCGTATGCGGCCTTGATGTCTCAAACTCTCTTGAAACATTAAGTAGCTTGTAAGTGTTTCAGTAAGCAGCTCCTAAAATTAAAAAACAAAATCTCATCAATTTAAACGAAATAGTCAATAAAAAGCCTACTTTAACTTAAATATTTTCTGGCACTATGTCTTCAAAAGGACGGACAGTGCATGTACATCAATTATTGCTCAACGGTGCTTTTTAAACTACTTACTGCATTGCTTAGCCATAATTTTTCACACTCATGTATTAACTGGTCTCCTTATTTGCTCGCTTCATTCACACAGCCACATTAACTGCAAGATACACCAATACATTACCACGTATTGGCTCCCAGGACATCACATACGATACTGCAAGTACTTCTCCTGATCCAAACTTTTTGTATACTTTTGTCAGTTAATTTCCGAGCGCCTTTTGATTAGCTGGTAAAGTTTAAGCGATTGGCCTTGTCGTCCGCTTATCTTTCCTTTTCTTCAACACTAAAAACTAATTTGCGTCGCGTCTGTGTGGACCAGATGAATTTGACAAATGTAGGCAATTTCTCCTGGAGTTGGATTCTAAAGGAGTTTTTTCTGGTTCAACATGAGATTCAGTGAAAAATTCATCGTCGCATGTTCACGTCCTCCACGAAACGTGGTATTAGGTGTGCAGTGGACGTCAAAGAAATGTTCTAAAAAGCGTGATGCACGTGTAGAGCTGTTGTTTTTCTCATAAAACCAATTGTTTTTTGACGTTGTCTTTGCCGTCGTTGTAGCGGCGGTTGCTGGCACTGTGCACAAACTACATCGGAGACTTACTAGTAATGTTTATTGCCTTTTGCCATTTTATGACAAAATTCACCGTCAGAGATGTTTCACCTCTTTTGTCTGAGTTTCAGGCCTCTCTTTGTTCAAGTGTTAGGTGGCGGTATCCACTGGATAAATCACTATCCAGTAGATAAGTATTAGGGAAACGTTTGCGTTAGATTTATCCACTGAATAGCGTTACCCACTTTTTGAACAACTCGGATTTTTTCCAGACGTTAGCGGGATTCCGGTATCCTTAACCTGAATTCCGGATTCCAAGGTCCAGGATTCCGGAATGCACAACCAAAAATTCCCCGGATCCTAGCATCCGGATTACCTTATATGGGGTCGAAAAACATCGCCTTGATCTTTTTTGACGTCATATAGCAGCCATTGTCGAGAAGTCGCATCCTGAGCGAAGCGAACAGGACACCTGGATCCGGGCTTGTTTTGCTGTTGTTTTGGTAGAGAAAAATGATGTCGTATTTGGCTCTAACCGTGTGCTTGACAATAACTCGCAAAATGCAAATCTACTAGCAGTTCATAGATACTCAATGACAGGTGTTTTTTAAGATCGTCTCCAATTGGCTCTCTGGTACCGTTGCCTCCTGGTACGATCACAAACACTCCAAAGGGAGAACAGGCTCTTAAGACCGCTTTTGGGCAAAATGTGGCACGTAGCTAAACGTTTCTTTCTTTTTTTTAATCCTCAGGCTCTGACTTTTTATGCAACTTAAATTACTGTTTTTACAATCGGGGTTCCCACAATAGGAGTCAGACTAAGGAGACGTGTGATAAAAAAACGGAAATACTGACGGCGAGGGGAGTACAAAAAGCACTCCAAGCACCAAGCTAAGCCCTGCATACTGTATGAATTATAGAGGAAGAACAAACTAAATAACGCTCGGAAGAACCGGTAAGTTATCATCAGAATAGTTGTTTAATTGTCCAGTAAAAGAGATGAGAGCCATGATGTTTCTCTCAGATTCGTACTCTATAGTAAGGCAGCGGGCCTTTCACACATGAACAAGCAGGCCTACACGGCCGATAAAAAATGTGATGCCGGGTAGCATTGTTATATAGGGAGCTTAAGCAACAACGACGGCAAAGACAATGAGAACGGCAAAAAAGCAATTGGTTCAGATTGGCAAAACAATCTCCCCACGGATTCCGGAATCTTGGAATTTTTCTTAGTGGAATCCGCAATCTTGGAAATTTTTCTTCCTGGAATCCGGAATCCTGGGCCTTAGAATCCGAAAAACAGCTGTAGGAATCCGGAATCCAAGTTTCACTGAAAAAGATCTGGAATCCAGTAATTAGAATCCGGAGTCCACGGTGTGGAATCCTGAATCGAAGGCTGTCTTGGATTCCCTTATATGGGTGAGGGGTGGGGGCGAAAAACAACAACTTTGTACGTGCATCACGCTTTTTTGTACATTTCTTTGCCGTCGTTGCACGACTAAAACGTGAAAGAGCCTAATTTTACGTTTTGTGGAGGAGGTGAACACAAGACAACGACTTTCTTTTTCTTTTCTTGAACTTTGATACAGTCTTTTAGAATTCAACTCTAGAAAAATTTGCCACCATTTGACGAAATAAACGAGATGGAACATGCCCGCTAACGA